ATTGTACCAAGAGAAGAGTAGAAACACCTTTCCCATGTGATTGAAAGGAGTGGTGGCAGTCAACTAAACAGACACACTCACTGACAGGTACACACACACTTACTGATTTGACCCACACTAACAAACACACATTCACTGACAGGCACACACTCACTGACAGACACACACACAGACAGACAGACACACTGTTACAGGCATACTGACTCACACAAACAGACATACTGATACACACACACATAAACAGACATAATGGCACACACAGACATACTTACACATGCATACACACTAGCACACACTCACTGACACACACACACAGACAGACACACTGACACACACACACAAACACAAACAGACACACAGACAGACATACAAACTTTACACTTTGAAAGAAGGTAGACAGGGGCTGAGTAAGGTGACAGGGCTGTAGTAGGGGTGTAGGGGTTGTAGTGGGGGGACAGGTGCTGTAGTGGAGGGACAGGGACTGTAGTGGAGGGTAAGAGCTGTAATTGGGGGGTTAGGAAATGTAGTTTGGGGATAGAGGCTGAAGTAGGTTGATGGCTACAATTTGGGAAAGGGGCTGTGGTGTGGGTGATATGGGTTGCAATTGGGGGAGAGGAGCTGAAGTGGGGGGTGTTATGGGGGCTGTGGTGGGGGGGCATGGGGCTGAGAGAGAAGGGACAGGAGCTGAGAGGGGGGACAGGAGCAGAGAGGAGCTGAGTAGGGGGGCAGGGCTGAGGAAAAGTACAGGGGCTGGTGAATGGGGACAGGGGCTGAGGAATGGGGACAGGGACTGAGGAAGGGGACATGGGCTGAGGAAGGGGACATGGGCTGTGGAAAGGGACAGGGGAAGGGGGACAGATCTGAGTAAGGCGAGAGTGGCTGAGCAAAGGGACAGGGGCTAAGCAAAAGGACATGAGCTGAGGAAAGGGATAGAACTGAGGAACGGGGACAGGGACTGAGTTAGAGGGAAAGGGGCTGAGGAAGGGGATAGGGGCTGAGGATGGGGATATGGGCTGAGGAAGGGGACATGGGCTGTGGAAAGGGACAGGTGAAGGGGGACAGATCTGAGCAAGGCGAGAGTGGCTGAGCAAAGGGACAGGGGCTAAGCAAAAGGACATGAGCTGAGGAAAGGGACAGAACTGAGGAACGGGGACAGGGACTGAGGTAGAGGGAAAGGGGCTGAGGAAGGGGATAGGGGCTGAGGATGGGGATATGGGCTGAGGGAGTGATAAAAAAAACCTAAAGTATATTCCACCACTCCCTGAGTCTTACCTTAGGCTAGAGAGGTGTGGGCAGGATCCAGGAGCCAGCAGGAGCAGGAGCCAGCAGGATCCTGCAGGGCAGGAGGCAGCAGCCAGCATACAGCAGCCAGTGATGTCAGCCTCTCCTGATGATGTCAGGAGAATGGGGCGTGACTTCCTCTGCTCTTCTCCCAGACTCCCCAGCGGTCCTGGGAGAAGAGCAGTGAAAGTCCCGCCCCCTCCTCATGACATCATCAGGAGAGGCTGGCTGACTTCACTGGCTGCAGGCTGCAGGGAGAGTGAGGTATGTTGAAAAATCTGAGTCCCCAGCCAGAGTCAGGGGACTTTGATTCTTTCTTTTTTTGCTAAATGCGGACGGCCCTTGATTTAGGGCGGCCTGTGGGGCAGTTGCCTCCATGTCCCTCGTCCTAGCTCGCCCCTGCTCTGCATCCCCTATAAACACTCTAGATACCCTACACACTACTAGATTCATTGTATGCAACAACAAACACTAAGTTCCTAACACAAACTGTACAGCCAATACACACATATGTCACCTATACAAAAAAAACACTACAGCCCCTATGCACACAGTTGCAGCATCCCCTAAACACACACACACACACACACACACACTATAGCCCATTGCCACATATATTATACCACAAACACACAACACACCACACCACATTACAACTAAAACCAACCTATTTACACAAAATACTGCAATCAGCTCACTCTACATCCATGCAGTACCACAAGAAGCCTTCAAACACATGCACAATACTATTTCCTGGTACCATCGATAGAGCATTTTTAAATGATTCTCATGATGACTAGCAAACTGTGTGATACCTCTCAAGGCGAGAATAAAACTTATCCAATCCTCCAGTTCATACTGATGTCCCAAATCTCTTTCCCATGATTCCATAAAAGATAATTTAGATGTGGTCTTAGGAAAAATATGGGAATAGCAAAATTAGATTATGCCTTTATGATTTGGATTGAGGAGATAAATTTTTTCTAAATTTGACATTTTTAATGATTTATCTCATTTACCAAATTCTAATATTTCAAATTTTTATTTCAATTTGTCTGTTATTAGAGTATATTTGGTAATATAGAATCGTCCATATTAATTTTTTCTTAAAATTGATCAAATGTTAAAAGGGAATTCCCTGAACAGAAATTATCCAAATTTTTAAATAGAATGGGAGTGCCAAAAAAGTTAAATCTAGTGGGGGTAAGTAATAATTTAGAATTGATAACAGCATTGCTCGTGACAAACTGAAGGATGGTCTAACACTACTAAAAATTATATCTCACATCTTGAGGGTAAACTTGGTTGAAGGAAACATGTGTTTAGCCTTAGGGCGTCTATTTAAAGGCAGCCATAACAGTTCTTTAATAGAATACGGTTGAATCTTTTCTGTTTCCATTTCTAGCCACCTCGGCCTGTTACGATCTATGTTAAATTTAAAAGCAGAAGCTGCATTAGCAGAATTATAATACTTCCTAAAATCTGGGACACCAAGACCACCGTTCACCTTTAAATGTTACATAGTTATCAACTTAATCCTACTCGGTTTATTATTCCAGATGCATTTAATCAATGTTGAGTGTATTTTATTAAAAAAGGACAATGGAATGGACAAAGTATTTGAACTAAGGTAGTATAATATCTTGGGTAGAATAGTCATCTTAATAGATGTCAATCTGCCCATAAATGATAACTCCATGCCGGACCACCTTTCCATCTCTTTTTGTAAGCCAGGCCACGCTTTTTAAAAATTTTGGTCATGCATTTTAGACACATTTTGTATAAATTTATGCCACAATCTATTAATCTCTCCATTTAAAAAGATATTCTTCTTTCAGTTTATCCAAATCAAAGTTTGGAATATTAAATGGGAGTGCTTGGGTTTTATGAGTATTGAGTTTGGAATATGACATTTCTCCAAACTCTTTTAAGATAATATTAAGGTGCGTTATGGATTCCATTAGGTTCTTTAGTGACAGTATGATGTCATCTGCAAATAGTCCTATCCTATGGCTTGTATCACCAATATTAATGCCTTCAATTTCCGGTGCTTTCCTAATTATTTCTGCTAGGGGTTTCATGGCCAACACAAATAAAAATGGGGATAATAGACACCCTTGCCTGGTCCCATTTGTCAAAGGAAAGCTATCAGATAAGATGCACCAGATGCAGAGACCTTTGCTGGGGGATGAACATACAAAGCAAATACAGCCAAAATAAATGGTGTAAGGATATTCAATTTTTCCATAACATTTCTCAAATAGCTCCAGTGCATCCTATAAAACGCCTTCTCTGCATCTAAAGAAAGGAGCAGAGAAGACAAACATGACTTTAATTTGATGTATTAAGTTGATGAATAGTGATGCACCGAACGGTTCGCCGGCGAACAGTTCCCGGTGAACATAGCGTGTTCGCGTCCGCCGCGTACGGCGAACACATGCGCGGTTCGATCCGCCCCCTATTCGTCATCATTGAGTAAACTTTGACCCTGTACCTCACAGTAAGCAGACACATTCCAGCCAATTAGCAGCACACCCTCCCTAGCAGACCCTCCCACCTACTGGACAGCATCCATTTTAGATTCATTCTCAAGCTGCATGCTTAGTGAGAGGAGTGAAAGTGTAGCTGCTGTTGATTAGATAGGGAAATGCATAGCTAGGTTAGGGTATACAGTGTCCACTACAGTCCTGAAGGACTCATTTGATCTCTGCTGTAAGGACAGCACCCCAAAAAGCCCTTTTTAGGGCTAGAACATCAGTCTGCTTTTTTTTTCTGTGTAATGTAATTGCAGTTGCCTGCCTGCCTGCCAGCCTGTGTGTCAGGCTCACAGCATATACTGTGCCCACTTGCCCAGTGCCACCACTCACTCACTGGTGTCACAATAGCTTGCATTTAAAAACAAAAAACTTGTTTCACTGTTATAGATTGAATAGCAGTTAGTTGTCTGCCACTGCTGCCAGCTTCTGTGTCAGGCTCACAGTGGATACTGTGCCCATTTGCCCAGTCAGTGCCACCACTCATATCTGGTGTCACAATAGCTTGCATTTAAAAACAAAAAATGTTTTTCACTGTTATAGATTGAATAGCAGTCAGTGTCCTTAAAGCTGGTGTGTCAGGCTCATAGTGGATACTGTGCCCAGTGCCACCACTCACTCACTGGTGTCACAATAGCTTGCATTTAAAAACAAAAAACGTTTTTCACTGTTATAGATTGAATAGCAGTCAGTGTCCTTAAAGCTGGTGTGTCAGGCTCACAGTGGATACTGTGCCCAGTGCCACCACTCACTCACTGGTGTCACAATAGCTTGCATTTAAAAACAAAAAACTTTTTTCACTGTTATAGATTGAATAGCAGTCAGTGTCCTTAAATCGGGTGTGTTACGCTAACAGTGGATAAGGTGCCCAGTGCCATCACTCACTGGTGTCACAATATTTTGCATTTAAAAACAAAAAACTTTTTTCA